TTGGCCCGGCCCGCCAGGGTGTTCACCCTGGCGAGCCGCGTGCCAAACGTTGCCGACCCCTGAAATAGCTTTTAGTATTTTAATTTAAGATGGAAAAGATTGGTAAATGGTGGGGAATTAAATACTGAAATAAAATTAAGCACAAAAAAATGACTATTCTGCTCAAAGATTACAAATTAATTGACAAGGGGCAAATTCAGGCCTATTCTCAGGCCCCAGCTGGAGCAGTCACACTGAATATTGGCTCCTGCACAGGGCCCCTGCTGTCCTTGCCCACCATAGCACTCTACTCCATAGAACCCGCTGTCACCTGACACACACAGCTAGAGGAGGCAGGCTGGGCTGGGGAGGAACAGTAGTTGATGGATTTGCAATTATGTGGATCCATTAATAAGTCTCCTCTGCATGACGGGGAACATGTATTTAAGATGCTGTTGCAGCACTGCTGAAATGCCTGTGTTACCACTTTTGAAATTTTGGGTATCTCTGTGGTTCTCTTCTTGCATGAAGTCCAGATACCTGAGCTTGGCAGGGGTGAGGATGTTCCCTAAAATAAAGATTGCCATATTGCGTTGGACTTCTGATTGAGATCATTGAACATGTTTCAACTTCTTTTAGTTTTCCCATTGCCACTTCAAAGAAATTCATCTGGAGCGATATACTGTTGTATCATTCTGAGCTTTAAATTTAATATATTTTTCAGCCTTTCTTCTGATCACTTAAGATAGATTTTTTTTACTGTATTGTTACTCCCCTATCCCCTCCTCTTCAGTGGAGGAAATGTAACTGTTAATAGAAGAAATTTAGATGTCTCAATGCAAATACGGGTTAAATGTAATTGTTACTACCCCCATGACTTTTAAATATGAGGATTGTGGGTATCTAAATTGTCACAGAATTCTGGACTCCTTGAAACTAGAAATGAAAGAGACCTATTTGGAAATCCAGTCTATCCCCCAATGGCCAGAACGTAATTCTTCCTGGAGTACATTTTCTAATGTTTATCTACACAGCTGTATATGTCCCCAGGTGGCTTCCACCAGCTCAACTGAAAACTATTAGACAGTGAGAGAGATCTCACTGCCAGGAAACTTTTCTTGATAGTCATTGTACATTTTTCACTTCATCCTGTTAATTCTAGTTCCCCTCTTGGAATTTCCCTAAATAATTCTCCATCCGAGGTGCTTGCACCCTTCAAATACGCTTTCCTCCTCCACTTTGTTTTTTTTCTTGGCATTTTTTTTTATACAAGCCTTTTATAATTGTTCCTGATAAGCCAATCCCTACAACTATTTATAGTTCTCTGAACTCTCGCCAATTTGTCAGTATCTTTTCTGGCACTGAAGTGAACTGAATGTAATACTCCAGGGAGTTAATGTTGTGGCTACAAAACGGAAACTTACTTTTTGAGATTCTGTTTTTTTTTTTAAATAGTTGTAAAGTACTAGTACAAATACAAGAAGTTTACAGATAATTAGATCTTTTTCCCTTAAACCTTCACTGGGAATCATGCCAAAGGAATGGATTTCTACTGACAGGCCCCAGTTCTGTGAATTTTGAGTGCCA